TTGATTGGAGTCTTTAATTAGATCAAACTTTTGAAATATTATTTAAGATAATTATATCTACTTATATGTAAATTTTGAAGGCAAAATCTAACTAAGTCAAGGAGAAAAAAAGTGCCAAAGCAAAGAGGGTCCATCAAGCTTGCAAATCAAGGGTAGCAACTTTGAGGGGTCATAACTTTATGTTTATAAAATTTAATTTTTATAAACATAATATACTTTTTTAAACCAACGACAATCTTCTTGATAGTAAACCAAATACTATTGATATACAATACTTGAAAGTATGAGGGTATTATTGATGTGACAATAAAACTCCTAAGTCTAGTAGTTGATTAATGGTTTGTTGGAAGATTTCAAGGTGCTAAAGTAGAGTTGTTGAATTGAGTGGCTCAAAAAGTACAATTTGAATGGTACGCATAATATTAGAGGTAAGAAGTCCATTTTTTTTAAAGACAAGTTGGACAAAAATTAGAATCTTGATTTAGGTGGATAATTTTAGTCTTTTGGTTACATTATTGAAGCAATTATAATGTAGAGGTGGTTTTTAAGAAAGAATATTGAAGTAGCTACAATTAAGTATGTTGTTATTAATATTTAAAGATAGTATTGGAATAGAAGTGCTATAAAAATATGTAAGAATAATGGTTTTAAAAAATGGTATGTATTATATTGTAGTTGGCCAAAAAGAGACTAAGAGTGGTACAAAATGGAATAATTGATTATTGTCTTTGGCTTTGGTGATGAAGTAGGTAGTAATAGTAGTAGGAAATATTTTTGTTTTACCATGTCATTGTCATATTACGTAAAGTTTTACTTGAAAATATACTAGGCATTTGGCTATGAAAGATTAAAGAAACTTATAACAACAAGTTTTAATAGCTCTAATAGAATGATATATAAATTGTAATTAAAGCTTAACAAATATGATCAAACATTGATGAAGATCAATTAAATTTTATAATAAATAATAAAAAAATAGAAAGAAATCCTAAAGAATTTTCAATGAAATCATAAAATAATAATAATAAAATCCTTAAAGAAATCCAAAAGAAATACTAAAAAAATCTAAAAAAAATCCACAAGAATCTTTTAAAAAATCTTTATGAAATCCTAAAATAATACAAATGAAATAAAAAAATAAAAAATAAAATCTTTAAAGAAATCCTAAAGAAATCCTAAAGAAATATTAAATCTTAAATTAACCTTAATCAAATTTTAAACCCTAAACTAAATCCTAATCAAATCCTAAATCTTAAATTAAATCTTAATCAACTCCTAAATAAATCCTAACTAAATTCTAATCAATTCAAACTAATGCTAGGGCTATTTTAGAACTTCAATATCTATTGACTAAACTATTGATCTTACTTAAAATTTTACACATCTATAAATTTTTTAATTAAAAATAAGCATAATAAATCTAAAGAAAATTAAACTTAAAAAATAGAAGAAAACCGTTATAATCCACTTTGGTGTTGGCTGGCCTCCATCTTTGACTTTAAAGTTGATTTTCTGGTAGTAATAACTCTTGATTGAATTGTTAACTTACTCTCAAATATTACATAAGTATCAAAAGTCAAGTCAACTATTAGCTCTAATAAAAATCTTTGCAATTCTATTAGCAAATTGTTGCATATCTTAGATAATCTTATTAGACCTATAACTCCAATTTTTGAGATTTTAATCCACTTTAACTTCAATAACCTCCAATTGAACCATTTAATTAAGCTCAAATTTACAAAATATGTTTAGCACAACTATACTCACAATTCTATAATATTTCACTTGTGGATTTGCTATAAACCTCATAAAATTTCCCAAATTATAAATCCTATTTTATTTCACAAAACTTAGAGTTGCCCAAAACAACCTTATCTTCACCAAGTTCTTACAAAGTCAATATAAATTCAAATAGCTTAAAACTAATGCTCTAAAAAATCCTATAAATTCTTCTTTCAAATTCCACTCTCTAATTTGCAAAAGAACCTTAGAGTTGCTGAAAGTGTGTAGTTTTGTGCTTTGAGATTTGATTTTGATCCAGGTTGACAACCAGTCCTCTCTGGATACCAATTTTTATCTTCTTAAGATAATTTTTACTAAAATCAATTCCTAATTCTCTCTTATATATGCTTATATTTTTATTTTTAGAATCTACCTTGTTTTGCCTTATTTATGGTTCTACAAAATAAATAGAAGCCTACTTTGTAAAAAAGCAGCATTTGCATTTTTAGTTTACTATCCTTTGAATATTATCTATATTTCTTAGATATTTTTTTATAATATTTTGAAATAAGATCTTCTAAAATATAATATATTTTTTCATTCTTTTACCTATTAGCTTTGTTACATCACAATAATGTATATGTTGTTCCAAAAAAGATATTTTGTGAGAATAGTGTTGTCTTGACTTAAAAAGTAGTATGTTTGGTTTTTAATGAAGAGATCACTACTTTTTTCATCATACACAAAAACTAAAAATAAATTCTTTTATATGTCAAGAACATACAAGATATTGGTGAGGCACAAGATGTGTCCATTAATAAAGAAAATTTTAACTTTTCTTTGACTACAAATAAAGAATATAGTATCATGACCAAGATGGACTTTGTGTTTACCAAGCTAGAGTGGTTCAAAATTAATGAATTAGTATTTACTATGTGCTAAGTAATGAATAGCTCATGTATGAATAAATCAATATATATTTTTTGTCTTATAGAATTTAGAGGATTTTTTTAAAGTTGAAGGCTTATATAAGATATGCATGGGCTTACAATGGAGAATGTATTTTTTCCACATTCTCTAGCTTTCATGTAAATTTTGCCTTTTTAGTTTTATAAGAGGTTGCTATTATATTTGCAGCAATTTTGGACTTATTTTTAAAAGCAATTTGATCTTCGATGTGCCATCTTTTTACAGTAAGATCATGAAGTGGTTAGTTTTATTTTTCTTTTTGAATATTTGTAGTCTTGTGTCGATTGTTTTGAAGTTGTTTTTATTTGCCACTTATCCTTACCTTTACGTAATATAAAGAAGGCTTGGAGCTTTGAAAACAAGCCTTTCATTGTGGACTCTTTCTAAAAGAAGATTGCAATCAACTTTTGTAGTACTATGGTCCCAATTGTACTCAATGTTTGAATCATTGTGCAATATTATAATGGCATGGACCTCATAAGAGTGAGGATTTTTATTTGTGGTAGAATAATCACTTCTACAAAGTAATATTATATTTTAAATTCTTTTGCTTTCATTTTTAGTATTATGAACTTTACTTGAAGATATGCTTGAGTAACAGCATTGCTAGCAAAGTATATGTTCTCTAAAATGAAACATGCTTCATTAGCTATTTTGCATGCTCTTATATGTGAAAAGATGGAGTTTTTTTAATATAATCTTAGATTGATGTAAAGACATCATGATCATTTTTTTAAAAGTAAGAATTGAAACTTAATTTGTTGGTGGTGATGGTGTTGCATTGGGTTTTTTGATTGGTATTAACTATTTCTTTTTGCCAAAAACTAATTCTTGCATATCTTTTATTTTAAATTTTATTTTGATCTTTTGTCTCTAGACTATATATTAAGAGCCATTAAATTTTGGCATTTCTTAGTGGTGAGGCTGTTTGAAGCTAAGCTTGTGAGGTATGATCTATTGGTGCCCTAGTTTCTATTCTAAACATCTTCAACATAGTCTTTCTTTTTGTGAGCTTTCTTTTCTAGTTTTTTATATATCTTATTTGCTCTGATATCATATTAAAATTACTAAGGTAAGTTAGGATTTGTAGCTCCAGAATTTAATAACATTATTCATAATACTTAAACAAAGTTTTACATTATTTTTATCTTATTGAGGGGCACACCCAAGAGAGTTGCAATTCCTTGACAGAATGCAATGTATTCCTATTTGTTTTTACTTACTATAGATTGATTAATTGGATTTTATTTATTTATGATTTCTAATAATATCGTTAGTGGGTGTACAAATGGTAGTAAGAATGGTGAATTTAAGGTATGTGACTTAATTTCATTTGTACATTATTGCTAAATGCTGTAAGTGTTTTTACTATCAAACTTCACCTAGGAGATGGTACCATGGCAATTATTACAACGCCATTGATGATGCTCAATTAATTGCTGGTGTAGTGAGCAAATCTACATGCAACTAGACCGTACACAAGGCTTTTATTACCTTTATTACGATTAGTACCTTTATTTGTTGCTGTATATGAAATAAAAACATTTTTTTAAAAATCCTATTTCTATAATATCAAAATATTTTTAATTTTTTATAATTGTATCATATTTTGATAAAAACACTGGATTGGTTTTGGATAGAGTATAAATATATACATTTATTTTAAAAGAAAATTAACTCATAATAATTTGTTTAAAATGTTACAAGATATCCGTCTAAATACAGCTTATACATCATTCATAAGAATATAAAACATGAAATAAACTTGGTTGCATCGATATTAGACTTGCAAAAAACAGCATGATTTTTTTTAGTACCATTATTGTTTGTTGAATACTTTTACCACTTACTAAAACTATCCAGAAAAAACAAGGTCCAAACAAACTTTCGGATGGATGAAAATACAACTCATGGAAGTGAATGGAGAACCTCTATTCTGTACATCCGCTTCCTGCAGCTGATGCTCCACAGCGGCATTTCCCGTCGGAGGAGAGCACCGAAAGAAAAACGGTGTCTGTGCTCCAGTCTGCTCGACCCACCGTAGAGAGTGGGTTGAAGCATCCATTTGTGGCTACAATCCAAACCTTAGTCTCAAAATTTATTTTATTTTATTTTATTTTAATCGAGGATCCGACTCATGCACTGTGAAAAGTGGTGAAAGTTTGAAATTCTGAGCAGGAGAAGCAGAAGATTGTGTCTGATTGACAACCATTTTTTTCTTTTTCTCTATGTACCATGAAGGAATAGGTGAATGGCAAGTAAAGATTATGAAGCACGTGTAACTGGATGTTTCTAAGAACGAGTAGGGAATTGGTGCGGGTTAAGTTAACAAGTTTATTGTTACCGTGTTTAGAGTTTGGCAGAGCTGTTGCAGACCAATCAGCGGGGATTGATGAACAACATTCTGAATCCTGTCAAACATTCAAAACCATTTTAAGGTGCAAAAGATTGGTCGACTACTTTTAATGTCTTGTTAGAAATCATGGTTTGTATGAGTCAGCATCTATTTTATTCAACAGATGAATCAAGCTGCTCATACCAAGTAAGATACTTACAACTCGGGTTGTTCAAATATAGTGGCATCGAGTAGGTTTAAAACCACTTGTGGAGGATGACAATCTCAAGATTATGCGAGAGAGTTGTGTGTGGGCGAGTCATGGAAAGGAGCGTGCCTCATCACTTGTAACAGGAATGAATATCTGCACTAGTTACGTCAGTCAATGTGTGAGCAGGTTCTTGAGCGTATGATATCTTTTTTTAATGTATGGTCAGACAGTTACCAATCATCTGGTTTCGAGTTACCCTCAATCGGAGGAGTGGCATGTTTTTTTGTAGTTTTGGCACATCCCCAAAACTTTCATGGAAAAATTTTGAAAGGCCACGTTATCTAGTCCTGGTTAGGTCTTTGATCCTCTGAACGTCCTGTCGCTGCGAAATAAGAACTCCCGTCAGTTCGTGCAAGAGCCCTGCAATCCCAATCCGGATCTTCAAGTGCATGCTCTTTAACTTCAATCCAGTTTCCATGATGCTTCCCTTGCCCCGTACTCACCATATTATACATATCTACGTAACCACCAATGGGTGCTTGAGTTTAAGAAGGGCGCCTCAGCGACTGTTTGAAGGACCACGTAGAATTCACAGTTGTCCAATATGTTCAGGATCGTTACACAAGTCGTTCAAGAATGTCCTTAGTTGTAAAAATGGCAATGTTTGGTTTAATTGGGATCTGCAGTGGACAAGGTCGAAGCGTCCATATTAATCTCCGGCCACAGCAAAGACTCCTGTTGAAATGAGTATGATGATTGCTGGTGTTGGTAACTATGCTGGAGATAGGTGCCCTCCTCGTGATCGTGATCCTCAGGCACTGGATCAGTCTCATTGGAATCGTTTGGTTCAACAGAATTATTGTCGAGCAACATCTGCTTGCTTGACCTGGATGACCAGCTCTTGCTATCTTTACTCACTTGATCATCCTCAGGGCTACCCTTATTATTCGACCTTGCTGTCAGGCTGTTTGCTTTAACTGCTTCGATCACACCGTTTCCGCCGTGATTCTTGAGCAACCTTGCAATCTTGGTTTGCACACGAACATCGCTGGATCCATTTACTGAGGGTTTTGACGTGTAGAGAGCACCACTGGATCCTGCTTTCTCATCGGCTGAGGATTGCCTCTCTCCATCCAGGACGTCGATCCCTTCAATAGTCGGAGGGGGATGGGGAGGGGGAGCGACTGTCCGAGACCTGTGCCGTCTTCGTGATGATCCAGAGCAGGTGTGTTTCCCGACGTACGTGACCTCGAAAATGGAAGGGTCCTGGACTGTTGGTTGCACCATCTTCTTTGCACGGCAATCCACCATGCCACATTTGTAGTATCCTCTGATATCCAAATCCATCACATCATGTGAGCATTCAGATGTAGGGCCAGATATCGCGACAAACACGAACGTCCTTGTTTCTTCCCATAAGTTTCTAAACGATCAACATCATAATCTAAACGTTTTATCGCGATTTATCAGCGGTGGCACCCTCAAATTGTCCTGGACTGAATAAGGGACATGATCTACCATTGACGACTCGATGTGTAGGATTCGTTTACGTCGATATCAACGACACCACAGTTACACCAAGTGGGTGTCAAATTTGATTGGTTACTGCACGACCTTTACCTGCAAAAGTTGGAATTCTGAATTGTTTTGTTGCCATATTTCTTCCAGCCGCGATGGTCGTCATCGGGAATGGCCTTTTTCTTGTCCCGGCCAGGCTTCATTTTCTGGAACACCACTGTTACGGTGGTCTCCCCCTCCGAGAACTCCTCTCTGAATTGCCACCCTCCAGAACCCACTCTTAGTTTAAGTTCGTGAGGCGCTTAATCTCCGTGCTTCGAACGCAACTGAGGACGACTTGCAATCAAGCGCTTGCTACTCAAAAACTAGTTCAAAGAATTGGTGATGATAATGCACGGAGATGACAATGTAAGGTACCTGTCTCGTTTTAAGCTGGATTGACGAAGGCCACTGCGACCGTTGAATTTACTTCCAATGTTTCGGTCATCATGTTCCGAGAACCCTCTTCCATCTTTGTCAGCGTCTGGCAATTTAAGTTGACAGGTTGATGAACTTTGGTGCGGCGCTTCGACTGGAACAAGGGAATCTTCCAGGTTGGTAACTTGGGCTTCTGATAGCATGCTCCAAGTGTTGTCCAACATGGGACTGGGTAATTCTGCGAAATCCTGCCCCTGTTGATGCTCCTCGTTAGAGCTCAACAACCCCATGGACTGCTGCAGCTGTTTTTCATCATCTGCGGATCACTTCGATATGGTTTGAGTACTAGAACCAGAAAGACCTGAAAAAACCTTGGAATCACCGAAACCACCAATGGAGAAACTTGCCATTTTAATGGACACTACGGCAGTGAGAGTACGGCAAAGGGCTGGCAAAAACAAGGCCATGAACTTACCTGCTTGAGCAATGGAAGTCGGTAACTGTCCGATCTGCGAAGTCTTGTTCATGTATAAGTTCCCAATGCTCCATGCGTCACACAACCTTGGAGCGTATGTTGAGGAGTCGGTAAAGGGATTAGATAAATCAAGATGCTCCTTGATCAGCGATACAGGCAGAGGGCTTGCGGGAGAAGACATTCATCTTGGTTGAGGAATTAGGATTTGAGGAAGGATTTTCGGGGAATAAATTGTCTACCAAGTCAGTATCTGGTGATGGAAGAGAACCGGTGTGCGAAATGATCTCCTTGAGTCGGGTGAGCGCAAGGTGACACCAATCCATTGAATTTTCCAGCCTCGATTTCAAGATCTTCAGGAGTCGAGGAGATATCTCATCGTTGGATTTCTGCTCCGCAATCGATGGATGCTCGTCCGAAGTTTCGCCCTCAGCGGCATAGACTACGAGCATATCCCACAGAGCTTCCTGGTGAATTATGGCCCTGCTCAACATCTCCTTCACCTTGTGCACGCACTGCGCAGAGGCCCATTGGCTTCCTGCTCTCATCCACGGCAGGTCCTGCCGAGGGTTCCCTGCATTCTCCATGCCACCGTCAAGTTGCCCGAACTGCCACGAAGAATCAAATCAAACTTGCTCTGCCTTGCACAGACTATAAGAGATTGTGTGTCAGGATGAAAGGGCTGAACACCTTGCGATTTCACCAGTGCAAACAGTCTTCAAGTTCTGTTGGGCCATGAAACGACAGATCAATGGTCTTTGGCGACAAAGTCTTTCCCAATGATTTCGTCATTCTAGCAGCTACCTAGAGTCAAACTCTACCGACTGTGGCTTTTCGGCTGATTTACGTAAAGCTTACGAGGTGCAACATGTTGTACGCGTCTTAGACATTACTGGGCACCTGAAGCGCTGGATGACTGGGCCAATTCGATGAGCCTCCCCACTTCTCACTGCTGTGACTGGTTTTAGAATAGTCGCAAACGGAGTAGGCGTATCAAACAATAATAGGTTGCTATAGCTTAATGCTGCTGTACCTAGAAGTTAACTTGCGAACAGCATGACTAACTACGTCTCTCTCGAAAGCTCAGTAGCAACTCCGTCAGAAGTCAGCTCCTTTTTTAATTCCTCGTCCTGATTCTGGACCGTCAGCTAACTTCCAACCGCCAATGCCCTACTGCTAACGATTCAAATTGTCTTGCTTATCTCACAAGCAGCAACTTGGTGCTGCGAATGTCATCGGCAACTTAGTCGCATCAAAACGTACATTGTCACGAGCGACTTTTTTCAGGACCCACAGCGCTCCAATCCGGAGGCCGCATGGCGCTCTCTTCATAGCCGAAACAGTCTGATTTTCTTGACCACGGAAATTTCCGACCTATGTGCTGGCATGCAACTGCGGGCTGGTACTGTCTAAAAAACCTAACTTTATCTATCCTCCGGCACAAAGTGTGGCAAATTGGCCGGAATGAGTGCGGGCTCATTTTCAACTCCTTTTCACGTGATGGTCCCTGTCAACTCATACACAGCTACAACAGGGAAAACAGTGGATGCTCCCCTGTGTATATTCTCACGTGATGGTCCCTGTCAACTCATACACAGCTACAACACGGAAAACAAAGGTTGCTCCCCTGTGTATATTCTCACGCGATGGTCCCTGTCAACTCATACACAGCTCCCCTGTGTATATTCTCACTACACACACCGTAATCATAAATCCCACTTTTAACCTTCAACTACCCCTTGGGATGCTTCGAATATACACAGGGGAGCATAGACCCATAACAAGCGCACATCCACTGTTTTCCAGGTTGCTATCTTCCAGTAAACAGCATGAATGAAAAGCTAGATCGAAATCAAGAAGTCATAGCTCAGCTTCGATAACTCCAGAAGCGAAAAACCAGTCAAGCCTTTGGCGACGATTTGGGAGAGACATGGTAGGGCAGTCTCGTCGATGCTGCTAGAAAAGGCTGCACGAGCAATGAGGGTGTTGACCACAGGCCCCGAAGTTGTTGGCATATGTGCGGCCGGTTGTCAGTCTCGTCAGGAGCATCCACGAGGTAGGATCCATTTGGTCAGAGCCAATAGCCAGGAGCCATAGGCATAGCCAGATCCAGGTGCTTCTCCTCATTAACTCAAAACTTCCCTCGTGTAATCCGTTTCCGCCATTTCCTCCTAGTTTTCCACACTGGAATTTTCATCAAAACCCTGAAGTCACTGCTCTACTAAAGTCCTTAACGCCATGCTCACTTCATACCAGCCAGTCTTGCTGTGTGGGCAGCACTAGATTTTTTTACTCTCACATCCTTTTAGCATGCACCACTAGTTTATGTTTATATACATGTACACATATACACAGGTATACACAAACATATACAGATAGCTTCACAAGCAAAGAACCACGAAGGAATTGTTGGATGCCGAGTGACTGTGGAGAAAGGGATTGGAGCCTCAAAATTCTCACTTGCTGGGTTGCTTAGTTCAGACGTGAGTTGAGCTCCTTCATCGTCTTTCTTCCTTTGTGTTTCTTTTTCGTTACTTTACTTCATCTTTGTTTCTTTTTTTCTTCTCGTTGGATGTGGTGTGGCAGTTGACCAACTCAAAGCCTCAACTTCCTAGTCCTCAATGAGATATTAAAAAGTTAAATAGACAAATAGTCATGCAGATGCATTGTTTTGTCAAAGAGTTGATTGTTGGGCTCCACGTGGCAACACAAGTATTAAATGACTGGACTCCTTGTAAACATTCTAGATGGAGAGACACTGGTGGTATGTGTGGACTCTCAATTGAAAGAACTGGAGAATTATAGGATATATAACAAATAAAAGAAAAAAAGAATCATTTTCCCTCCAGGAGGTCTTAGTACAGAGGTTCCTTCCTAGAGGTTGAGTTCCTAGCTACATCAAATGGTCAAGCCTTCCATTTTGGACCCAATCAAACAACTCCATACCAGGACAAAACTTGTCAATGAAGAAGTAATGTCCAGAGCTTTTTATTCATTTAGCTGTGCATCTTATTAACCATCATTCTAGAGTGCTCCGCCACAGTTACATCCAGTAAAAAATTAAAAGAAAAATGAAGCCCAAGGAAAGTGAACAAATGGGATCCACAACTTTGATTCTGCTCTAAGAAATGTGGCTCCCATCTTTGAAGGGAGTATATTCCTAATCTAACTAGAAAATGCCAAACATGTGGGATCCCAGCACTCGACACAATGCTGCTTGGTCCATCAAACAGGGAGAAAGAGACAAAAAAAACAAAACAAAATCTGTTGCACAAATTTAGCAATTCAATGTTTGAAGTAGGTTATTTTCATAGGTTATTTTATTATTTTGTGATGCTGAGATGCTATACTATAAATACTACATGTTTGCTGATGTCATCCAAATGTAGGATTCATATTCATGAAGACCAAGCAAGTTATCCAATGTTAGGACAGAGCATAATACAAGAATATGTTGTGCATTTTCTGTTGCATTCGATTGGATTCAATTTCTCATAACTCCATTCTGTCCAAACTATTTTTTTTGTGAACCTCGATCAAAAAGTGCAGTGGTCACATGAATTACAATTTTTTTAATCTTTAAATCATTGCTTTTTATGATTCATGATGTCACAAAAAGATTTCTGTAGATTATATTCATTTGGAATACTTTTTATATTTTACATGAACAGATTTTTGCTATTGGGTGATCATTGATTATTGCTTGAATGAGTTTTCTAATTTTTGATATTTTTTCAAAATGAATCGACATTGATATTTTTTTATCATTTTCTGTTGCTTTTTATTTGAAATTAGATTTAATTTAAAATAAATAAGAAAATCATGCAATTTATTACATCATTCAATTTGCATAAGTTGCACATGTATGCATAATATCTTCATTATGTGATCCTTTATGTATATAATTTTATTTTTTTAAAAAAAATATAAATAAAAAAATCTAAATGACATGTAAACAATGATTATTTTTTCAATTATATTTATTTTTTATTTAGAATATAAAAGTAAGAATCATTATTATGATCTAATAATAACTTCATAAAGTAAGTGTATTGTCAATTCTTATATTCTACATCAACTAGAATATGAAAGATATAAAAAACAAACCTGTGAACTGTTCTCTATGTTGACATTTTGCAAATGCCTTGAAATTGTATATACCAATATATATAATATAAATTATTCAAATACTTTTATATTTCATTTTAAGTCATTTTATAAAATAATAAGGTAATTTGTTATTTCTTTTCTTAATTTTAATATATACATGAAATTTGAAGAAATTGATTTGTTAAAATTTTATAATTTTATAATTTTATGATTTTAAAAACTAAGTATCAGGGACATAAATATTTACATACATTAAGAAGAGTTATGTAGAAATAAGTAAAAGTAAGCAAATTTGATAATATCTTGTGAAGTAGCTTCTTAAAAACTTTATACATGTAGATTTGGCTTTATCCATGTTTATGAATGATTGATAGATTAAAAGCTTAGCAAACAAGTTGGCCACTTATAGTAGAAGTTTGCTATGTGGCACACATATGAAATTTGTCTTACAAGTTGGACACATGTTGGAGGTCCTATAGAACATCATTACATAGCTTCTAGTTAGATAATATATATAGAAATAAAAGTAAAGCCTTCTTCTCTCTTGTCAACACTTTTCTTGTTCTTAGTCTTGTTTCAAGAGTTTCTAGTCTTCTTCACTTTAGCAATACCTATTCTAATTCTAATATAATATTAGCTTTGAATAATTATCTATTCTTTTCTAGTAACACAAGAATGTATTGATATTTTTATTCTTTGTAATTCATAACCTTGAAAATTAAACAAGAATTTTGATTCACCATTCTTATTATTTTTTTGAAATAAGTCAATTATTTCACTTCTTTTGTTGTATTTTAAAGGCAACAAACTACTTATCTTTAAATTAATACATTTTTATTTTCTAACATTGATTCTTTTATTAAAAAGAGTAAACTATCTTTATTTATAGAATTTTTTATTTAATACTAGAAGTTACAAATTATATTTTTCTAACTTGATTTGTAGATTTGTTAGAGTTATTTGTTATAGAAATAAAAGAAAAAATTATAGATGCTATACTTGGCAGAAATAAGAATTGATTGCAACTATTGTGGATCTTCACAAGCTTGTCAATATTTTTAAGGTGGAAATTTCATATATTATTAATATCAATTA